TACTACCTTAGTCTTTGTGCGAAACGCCTTTACACGTTTCTCAGTGACGCTGACTGGCTACATATCTGGTACGATCTAACGCGATACGCGGAAGAATTTCAAGTTACTGTACGTCCCAGGTATATACCTACGTATCCGGTTCGTACTTCACCCATTCTAGGAACGTACCGACTCGAGTTGGCACTTCATTATTTTACACAAATCTCGATAAAATAATGAAGTGTAAACGGGATCGAAGCGAAGAGAAAAACTCATTTTTTATTTATCTATTGATTTTTTTTTTTTTTTCAGAAACCAGAACACAGTGCTTTATTCGCAGACCATCTCCAAGTACGTGTGCATTCATTTTTTCTACGCACATCCGTTAAATGCTAGAAAATTACCGGTAGCCGCATTACACCAGGAATATCTTCCCGGGCACAACGTATGGTTAAAAACTTAAACTTCATTTTCGTCCTGTTTCCGATACTAGAAAAATGACGTTTTACGACGTCTTTAAACCCGGTTAATTTTTCGCAATATTTCACTTCTCCGTTAACGCCATACCTTTTTTTACACGTCACGCCAGTTACCGACCATGTTCACTTACGGAAACCGAAAGGCATAGTCGAGAGGATAATAATAATCGCACGCGAAAGAATTCGCAAGTTAACGACGTGCTGCTGGTTAATTTTACTTTAGGATATTTTCCTTTCTTTTACGCGATCGATAACTCAATACCTGACATAGCGGTTGAACGTAATATCCTCAAAGTCCGTCCATTGACTTGGCATCGATTTTTTTATTGCAATTTTTTTCAACAACTTTATTAGCACGGTAATCCCACGACCATCTCAATCCACGTATTGACGGTTGAGTTGGCGAAAATTTTGACGCTGTAAAGTGGTTTTACGAAATATTGCTTAACTTGGCATCTTCGGAGTCCTCGAGTATTACTCGTGATACCCGTAACGTTTTCTTCACGTGTATAGCAGCTGATTGTGATTTACCACGGGGGAGTGTTTGATCCCGTAATTGAGTTGCTTCGCGGCGAGATATTGCGATCCCTTAAACGAGCGAACATATCCCAGGTACTACTGATCAATTTTTTTTTTTTTATCAAAAGGTCGACTACCGTTTACTTTTATATATATACCTGTATACAGCTATCTTTCCTTTTGCTTCACGATCACGCCCTTTCTATATCCCTTTCTACTGTATATCTTGTGGATAACCTGTACCCATGTATATATGTATGCACTTATTTATATGGTACGTGCATAGAAGCATATATATGCATTATCAGAGATATGAACCTATAGCAGGAAATGGAGACTCGGCGAATATTTATAATCGACGGCTGACGTCACATTCAACTTACGAATTTCAAAGGGGATAATTTTTAAATTACGTATCAATTCTTGCTGCGGGTATCGTCAATCTGGAAATTTCGTATTGATTTCTATTTTGACACATTGATAACTGCGACAGATGGGCTCTCCTATTGATTCTGGAAAATCTTGGCTCCACGTCTGCCTATGCGTTTCCCCATTTCAGTATGTCCTCCCGTCTGTTTCCGTGCGACTGGATTAGGAACATTATTAAGAGACAATCAGTAGAACGAAATTCCGTTTCCTCGTAATTCTACGGAAGGACGTTTCGGATTTTTCTTTTTATTTGATTCCACCATACTCGATCTCTCTTTGGACCGTTCTGATAAGATTTGTTACAAAGTAGGGATAATAATCAGAAAGATTCGTCATTTTAGGTATATCTTGTATGACCTTATTTATTCGATATTACTTTTTTGGATGTTCAGCAGTAAGATTTATTATACGGTAACTGTACAGAAAATATCGAAATCCACGATATGCTTTGCCCTAGGTATAAGATGACGCGAGATACAGGATGATTGAAAAAAAATTGGTCTACGATAAATTTTTTAACCTTTCGTAGGATTGAAGTATCGATTCTAAACTGTAGATTATTTTTTATGTAAATAAAATGGTAAGAATTTTTTCAAAAAATTCGTTTCTCACGTTACACTTCGTTTTTAAGATATTTGACAATTTTCGAACGGCAAGTCTCTTTACGAAGTACTCGTACGTCGCTTATACCGGTAACGCAAATGCCAGTGCACTCTATTAATTTTAAATGCGCTAGTGGCCCGGACGTGCGTCTGGACCGGTACAGGGAGGCTGATAGCTCGCGGAGGAAAAAGTTTTGAAAAATGAAGGCACTCCAACCGCGGCTGTCCTACGTACAAACAACTCTTCTCTATTATCTGCTTTCCGCCGTATACCTTTCTCTGCTCCTGATACTTTGATGCGCCACTCTCTCTTTCTCACTTTCTCTCTCCCTCACTTTGTATACAGTGTCTGATCCTCGGATTCTCTTTCTATCCGCGTATATGAGACGTCCATTACGTATCCTTATGCACCTCAACATTAGAAGTAACTTCGAGGCAGCTTTCCGAGCAAAGGACAAGTAGAATTGCGAAAGTACACGGACACCCCGTATAAGTGCAGAGTGTCTTTTTGAATAGACGGATAAAATTCATGAAACGTCCTGCAGACTGACCAACCCTAAAAGTTCATAACGTTTCCTAATCATAAAATCATTTTAATAGATACCAGTCTATTTAATATGTAAATATGTCTTAAATTTCAAATCAATAAAACTATCATGTCTCTTGTAATACTTTACTGCAAATTGAAATAGATTATTGCCAATCGATTTTCACCGCCTCCCCCCCTCC